TGTGTGTGTGTGTGTGTGTGTGTGTGTGTGTGTGTGTTGTGTGTCTATGTGTGTGTGTTTATGTGTTTGTGTGTGTTGCGTGAGTGTCTGTGTGTCTGTGTCTGTGCGTGAGTGCGTGTCTTTTTTTCCTTTTTTTTTTTATGGTTTTGATTTTTTTTTAAATCCACGAAGTTAAAAAAAAAACAAACAAAAAAATTTTTGTTGTGCATCTTTGAAAGATCTACAACCCTGTATTTATTATTATTATTTTTTTTTTTTGTTTTAGCCCTTAAAAAATCTCTGTGAAACCCAAAAAAAAAACACTCATTTACTTTCTGTTTTTGTTTTTTTTTTATTGTGTTTATGTTTTTTATTTTTTTAAAATGTATTCAAACATCCAAAAATAAAAATAAAAATATGAGGTTGTAGTCCTCGAAAAGACCTACAACTCCATATATATATATATTTTTTTTAGATTATATTTAGACCAGAAAAAAAATCATTGCGGGCCCCGTTCATTCCCGTCCAACGCACATTTGAACGGGAATTGAACGCGAATTGAACGCGCGTTCAATTTTTCAACGCGGAACCCGCATTGAATCCATTTTTGGACACACAGTCCCCGACTGTTGAATGTGTCCTTGGTGATGTACTTAGGATACGGGTCTTTTGAGATACCCCGTTTGGCATCGTCATCAGACCCATCAGACAAAGCAGTAACACTTTCAATAGATGCAACCATATGTTTCTGCAAAGCTTCCTCCTTATCTATTCGACAAACCTTCATAACCCTGACAACTCTTTGGGAAAGGCGACGCATCTGGACCTTTTTAAACAACCCTACACTTGACGACGACTTCTTCGGTAAAGCGGCCAATGACCTCCCTGAAAAACATTTCCCGCGCATGGCTCTTGAAGGCTTCATGGGCAGGAACATTGACAACCTTACACCTATAAAACATAGAAAACAACCCACAACCCACAAGTTTTTTCTTAACAAGTGGTAATAGCTACATGAGCCCATCACATCAATTTGGATGAACACAGAGCTGAATAGTGAAAGATATGCGAGTGCTACTATTCACAAATCTTACCGTGCTCGGGAGTCCTTCGAGGTAAATCGCCCTCCTGTCGCGCCACTGTGCCAACGTCCATAGAGGATTCGAGGTTCTGGACCTCGGCCACGGCTGAGTCGCTAACCAGCTTGGTGGCAGCTGAGTCGCTACCCAACTCGATGGCTTCATGAAGTACCATTTTCCGACCGGTACTGAGGATAGACGCTCGATCACCTTGTTCTTCACTGCAACGGGTGGACGGAGAATCATGATCCTTCCGCTCTGGATCCATCTAGATGCCGACCGCCACCTCACCGCCTTTCACCACGGGTTCTTCGCCTTTCTCATCGCCATGAACCCGAACTTCCACCAGGGGTTCTTCTTCGCCTTCCTCATCACCAAGAAGCCGAGCTTCCACGAACGTCCACGTACGTCCTTCCTCCCCACGGTCATTGCCTTCCACAAACGTCCACTGACCTCCCTTAACGTCACCCTCTTGCGTCGTCGCCACAACTGACCGACAGTGCAGAACCTCTTCGGACGTCCCGGTCACCAACACTCCTGCGTCGAGCCCCTTCAGCACTTCGCAAGCCGGCCAGTGTTGAATCTCCTCTTCCCACCGCAGAGCATGCGCTTCTTGTGAGAGCTCCTCTTCCCCCGGAGCTGCTGTACTCTTGCTCTCCGAGTCGACGGATGCACCCTCAGAAACTTTACGTTCATGCTCGCTAGCCCCGGCCTCCAACACTCCTGCATCGACCCCCTTCAGCACTTCGCGAGCCGGCTAGTGTTGAGTCTCATTTTCCCGCTGCAGAGCATGCGCTTCTTGTGAGAGCTCCTCTAACACGTTATTCGTTAAAATAGGACATTATACTGTGTCCTCTTTCTAACGAATTAATTTTTGGTTGCAGCCTAAGCAACGTAGGCATGCCCATCCAGGGGTTGGGATCCTTACTTGTTGAACATAAAAAACCCGCCACCACATGCAGAAGCGTGCTGAGATCCATACTTGTGAAACTTCATAAATGAAATCCCAAATGTGGAAGTGTGTTGGGATCCTTACTTGTTGAACATCAAAAACATATTGGTGATCCTGTGGGGAAGTGTGTTGGGATCCATACTAGTCAAACTTCATAAACGAACAACGATTGGCACGCCAAACGGAACCCTGTGCGAAACTGTGCTGTGATCCTAACTTGTCAAACTTCAATTTCATAAATGTGATGAAAGACACAGTAACTATATTGTGACACTGTCCTCTTTCTTACGAATTCATTTTTGACTGCAGTGTTTGTACATGGGCATACCCGCCCAGTCGGCCCAAATACGAAAGTTTGCTGACATCCATAGTTGTTGAACTTTTGTAAACAAAATTAGCAATGTAATTAGATTGAATCAGATTAAATTGTGCTCCATCGCGATGAATATCCGCATTTCAAATGGTTATGCAAATAAGGTTTGGGCATCCACTGACCAATTTCACATAAGATGAGATTTCTCATTCATCCACCAACCAGTTTCACAATCATGTTTACACTTCCAGTTGAATAGAATTCGAAACATGGAACACAATACTTCAACTTGAACAGAATTCGGAACATGGAACATTACGTGACATAGATTACAAAACCCATACATGACGCAAGACATGCATTGAGCTTGCCGTAGATAATGCGAACTCGGAACGATAAAAGAAAGCAATGCCTCTGGCAGAAGGACAATTCAATAATGTCTCGATTTACGAAATTTAATGATGAACGAATGAAACACCTTAAAAAAAAGTTTCGAAGTCAAATCCATCAAAGACAACGATGTTCTAAGACACATGATGCTAATTGTCGTCTAAGAAGCGGAATATTTTTACAAGACAACCGAAAAGGCGGTCGATCTCCATGTTGCAACAACGTCACATACATCAACATGAACACATCACAATTTGCTCCATCCACTTGTCTCGGAACTCCATCCAACACAACATTTCCCACCATGGACTTCCAATTCCTACCCGACCGCCTATGTGATGTTTGACGTTCCAAATACTGCACAATCAACCCGAAAACACTAAGGTAAAAACTAGAATCAGCTACAATGCGAGGAAAAAAATCAAAAATTTCGAGAACATCATCTCTCATGTTGACGGAAACGAGAATCCAGTGATCATCATCTTTGTGGACAGGAACGAAGATAATATCGTAACGAAGCAAATCTACGTTCTTAGCACACCTCTGCACCCCACCGTGTTCTTGAAGTCGCAGTTTATCTGAAGAAGAACGAATTAAAGCTGAAGACTTGAAGGCCTGAAGAGATGTCACGTGACCCACATGCGGTCGACCCCAACAACGCCATATAGAAACTGACCACCTCATCATTCACCCTGCCGTTGACATGCACGAGGGTGAAGAGATCTTTTGCTGCAATCCGAAATTAACCATTGCCAAGTATAGAGAGAATAGTGTTAGACGGCACCGAGCCTCGTACAATGTCATCGAAAACCCGCAAGCTCAGAGGCGCAGTCATCGCATCGAAACTTTTCCCGCGTGCTACACTTGTTGCCCGCACTGCACAACATCGAGCAAAGGACACGTGGGGTAGTGAGAAACAGAGTTCTAGACATTGTTCCCCGGTGCATGACGCGTTGCTAAGTACTTCTCATACATGGCCTGACCCCTACTCACAGATCGTGGATATGTCTCTTTCTCTGGGGCAAGAAGGGAAAGACATTCCTCAATGGCAACGGTGTACTCCTTCCCGATCTTGACATCAACTCCTAATGTCTTTAACATATCCTTGTGTTTTTTACTCAACCCGGGGACTTTCTGCAATATGTGCTCTGGATATTTGGAGGACCTCCGTGTTCGAGACGACACCACCCCTGTACAACAGAAGAAAGACAAAACGAAAAATGAGAACCATACATTCGTACAGACGCAACAGTCAAGCAGGACCTTTCCGACCACAGGACCCTGATCTCGCGTGGTCATGTGCACCCAGGTGCGGTTGTGCAACTGAAAAACAAAATGACTGCAACATCCGAGCTTATCACCCCCGCACTTCGCAAAGGAAAACCACCACAACTCACAGAAGCCGGAGGCCAGCAATCCGCGAAGTTCGGACTACGGCGGACTTTTGAACACACCAGCCCCACTGAGACTGACCACATTACGCATCGACAAAGGAAGTTCGGATCCCGGCGGACTAAAACTGACACTATTCCCGAGAAGGAAAAACTGTCAGTCCATGTACTTGGCCCATTTCTTAGCACCTTGGCCTACAGTCAAGCAGGACCTCTTCGACCACAGGACCCTGATCTCGCGTGGTCATGTGCACCTAGGTGCGGTTGTGCGACTGGAAAACAAAACGACTGCAACATTCGAGCTTATCACCCCCCGCACTTCGCAAAGGAAAACCACCACAACTCACAGAAGCCGGAGGCCAGCAATCCCCGAAGTTCGGACTGCGGCTTACCAGTCCGTTTCTCTCTCCGCTCCTTCGATGGTGAATTTGGCGCAGGCAAAGCGAGCACGTCGAGAGCCTGACCGCCGAACCTCGATTTTTTTAGGGACGTCAAATGCTGTCCTCCACCGCACTCGCCTTCCCCTTCGGCGGCAAGGGTGGCCTGCAGCGCCAGAGACTTCGGCGGTGACGAAGCGAGGGCAGCTGCCACGGAAGATGCGACGTTGGCAGTTGCGGACGGACGGGCAGACACGTTGTGGTCGCCGAGGATACCGTCGATAACTTCATCGATGCTTATACGTCGACTTTTTTCAGACGGGCTGATAGCGACGGAAGCCTCGTCGAACCGGCGCTGCAAGTCGACAGCAGACGTCAGTGGCCGGACTGCATAATCTTCAGGCTCTGCGGAAAGGCTGCTGACCACTTGTGTCTCCATCTCTATTGCCGTGGCATCGTCGTCGACATCATCCTCGTGATGCTCTCCGTACAGTTGTCCGAACTCGTCAGACGACTCTCCAGATCCGGCATCGTCCTCACTGTGTTCCACTTCGTCTTCTCCAGACCCGGCACCCTCCCTTCCTTCAAACAAATCAATTAGCTCCGTTTCTCCCGCTTCCTCCCCTTCCACCTCTTCTTTCCCTTCTTCCTCCCCTTCTTGTGCTCCCTTCTGTTCCTCCGTTTCCTCCCCTACTTCCCTCCCACGAAACTCGTCCCCTTCCGCGGTACCCATGCCGAATCGCGAGGACCGCCCTTC